TTGTCAAACTTACAACCATCGCAGCATTCCCGCGATCGAAATTCAGACGTTTGGCAACTGGTTCATAGTTATGACGGTTGCAGTGTCCCTGGGGGCACACAATTCCTCTTTTGCAACCTTGTCACCAGCAACATCCATGGGGAATCCAGATTCGCTTGGGTTACTAACTTAACAAAGGCAACGGTTCACTTAACAACGGTGGCAAGAAAAGTCGTAACATAAAGCAGGTTAAACGCTTCACAAACGTTTCGCTTAGCAATCCGAATTTTGGGCTCAATCTTAGTGGTAACCCGAGGACTACCGTGGTCTCAGCCAGAGCTTTTTAGACTTTAAGGCAGCTGCAGCCGTTGCAAGTGTAATTTGATCGGTAGGAAAAGCAAAGGCCGAAGAAGCTGTAAGGTTGGTCCATGGGGGTAGGGAAGAAATTTGGGAGTCCTGCAAAAATCTCACAAAAATAGCTAGCCAAGATTCAAGGGTTCTTCGCGAGAGGAGGAACTCAAACTGCCAATCTCGGATCTGTCTCCATCCAATTGCAAAACCTTGGATTGAGTCTGGCCCGGGTCCTGCCTTGCAATTTATCATTTCTTAAAAGAGCTATTAAAAAAAAAAATCTCGATCGATCGATCCCTGCCGAGTTTCAGAGCCAAGATGGAAGATGTGTGTGCGTTTTTTGTTTTTTTTTACATTTTTAAAGACCTCTGTATAATTCACTTCCAAACCAGAGAGCCAATGTGACCTGGAAGGATCATAAATCGTCCTTTTTATTAAAAAGGAAAAGCAATCAAAACCGTGTCACAATTAGATGCCTCGTTTGCTGTGAAATCAGGGTGATTAAGGGTTTTTTTTTCCGCCCCTCCACTCTTAATGCCAACGGCCTCTTGATGAAATACCTTTTTTTTACCTCCTCTATTGTAAGCGCGGCTTTCCTGGGCCCTTGAAAAAATGTTTTTCCTACCCAGGCAACAATGCAGGCTAAGCGAAAGGAAAAAAGAAAAAAGAAAAAAAAAAGACTGTAAAACTGGCAGAGTATAAAATGAAAGGAAACAAAGCATCCGTCTTTTCAACTGCTTGTAGATTTAACATAAGCACCTCTATTAAATGGAGAGAAATAGACCGGGAGCTGACAAGGTAAAGTCTCCCTCGTGACCAGTTTTTTAAAAGAACACAAGACTTGGGGGCTATACAATTGCCACCTTTCTTCTTAAGAATTTTGTTGCTAAGAAAATCTCGCCGGAGAGAGGGAAGACATGTTATTCTTGATTGATTGATTTCCCAAGAAGAAGGAAAAAAAGAAAAAGAAAGACCTACTTATTAGAACTTGGAATAGTTTCTCTTGTGAATTAACAAAGGAAAAAAGTCTAATGATTATTGAGAAGGAGAGAGAGAGAGAGAAAAAAATAAATCCATGTTTCTTTTATTATTTGGCTCACGTCTCATGTGGCTTTTCCCTTTAGAAAGATATCCAAATTGTCTTTTGGGGCAAAAATTCATGCTTAACAATGGATGGTCAGGATGGGGATAGAACTTTAAGAATTTGTATTTTTTTTTCTTTTCCAAAAGGGAACTTGTTCGGCAATTAGCAGGGCCAAAGGTTATAGAAAACACAACAACAGAGACAAACCAAGCTTGGAAAAAGTAGAATATTACCTTGAGCCGTGTAAGATAAGTTTTCCAAAGTCTGAGCAGGCTGAGCACCAGACAAACACCCCAAATCCAAACGCCAACTTCTCCACGGCAGGTAGACCAAAAGTAATAATAAAATTTAAAGGAAAAAAAAAATGGGTTCAAACTCTCCAGCTTGTCAAAAAGTACAAGCCACCCCACAAGTTGCAGATTCAATCTTTTTCCTTAGACAATTGTACCCACACACCTCCAGACCCCTGGAGAGATGCTATCTCAAGACTTAATGGTCTAAGGGGTGAGGAGGAAGGAACTTTGAAAATCCCAGCTGCCCCCAGAACTTCTTAAACCCGCTCAGAAGGTTCCAAAGGTGACCCAGCCTTGGAACTTAAAGTTGAACTCACAGCAAAGAGGAGGCTTTCCTCGTCCCAAGGAACTTTAGCCCCTCCACGGTTAAGAGGGATTGGCTTGGGGCCAGCCTGGGGCTCGGAAATTGAAAACAACTAGCCTGGCAGGAAGGGAGGGAAGGAGGGAGGGGGCTTATCTCGCCTCCTCGTGTTGAACCTCAGCCAAATGGAAGGTTCCCCCCCCTCAAGTCTTCTCACCACCACCACCACCTCCTCCTCCTCCTCCCCCTCCCCTTCCCCTCCCCCTCCTCCTCTTCTTCTTCTTCTTTTCCTTCTCCTTCCTCTTCTCCTTTTCTCCTCCTCCTCCTCCTCCTCTTCTTCTTCCTCCTCCTCCTCTTCTTTTTCTTCTTCTCCTCTTCCTTCCTCTTCTCCTTTTCTCCTCCTTCTGCTTCTCCTCTTCCTCTCCTCCTCCTCCTCCTCTTCTTTTTCTTCTTTTCCTTCTCCTTCCTCTTCTCCTTTTCTTCTCCTTCTCCTCCTCCCCCCCTCCTCCTCCTCCTCCTCCTCCTCCTCCTCTTCTTCTCCTTTAAATATTTTTTTATTGACTACACATTAAAATATTGGACACAGTGTGACCGCCCTGGCATGATTTTTGCCAAATATACTAATATGATAGATATCTTATATACATGTATACAATTAACTTATCCAGTATATACATATTATCTTTTGTGCTATCTATTTTATATCTGTCATACTATCCATCATGTTCAATTATAATTACTATTAACAATTATAACTCTGCATTACGATTACTATTAATCTTCTCATCACTCCTCATCACCCATTCCCTCCCACTTGTGGCTGTATGACTGTAACTTTGTCGCTTGTAGCCTTATGATTTATACTGACTGTTTCCTGGTATGATTTGATTGCTTATTTTACCCTATGGCTATTATTAAGTGTTGGACCTGATGATTCTTGACGAATGTCTCTTTTCTTTTTTATGTACACTAAGAGGCTATGAATCAAAGACAAATTCCTTGTGTGTCCAATCACACTTGGCCAATAAAGAATTCTGTTCTATTCTAATTATATACATAACCTCAATTGTCCATTTTACAAATCCTGATTAGTTTTTATTCTGGGTCCTTCCTTCTTGTTCCCACCATTGATAGAATTTATTCCATATCTCCTGATATTCTGTTTTGCTGTTGTTTTTCAATTCCACCTTCTCACCTCTTCTTCAATCCCAGAACATCTCAGAGCTGGGCTAGGAACTTTGCTGGAAACCTCCAGCCTCCCAGTTCTCCTCTTACATTGAAGTTTCCCGAGGCCAAAACCTCATCAATAAATATCTAATTAGGAGCAGGGATCAGACCATTCGTTAGACCTGTCACTCAGGCCTGACAACTTTAAGGGGTGGGGGGGACTTCAGCTCCCACTCATCTTGAAGCTGGCGAAGTTGAGCACAAGTGTGGAGAACGTGGGACTTGGTCAGTGGTGGGATTCAAAAAAAATTTACGACCAGTTCTGTGGGCATGGCTTGGTTGGCGTGGCATGGTGGGCGTGGCAGGGGAAGGATACTGCAAAATCCTCATTCCTTCCCCACCCCACTAACCTGCTTTCCAGCTCCGTTCTCCTGGGCAGGGCAACCAAAGAAGACCCAGCCAATCAGCTGGGACTCAATGGGAGGCAGAGAATAGATGGGGGTTGGATTGGCTAGTTCTCTGAACTACTCAAAATTTCTGCTACCAATTTTCCAGAACTGGTCAGAACTGGGCTGAAGACCACCTCTGCATCCGTCTCTTTCTTGCAGGCCACCGTACCTGCTGCCCATATTTGAAAATCGAGGTCAGCCAATCACACCCAGCAGTGAAAGCCTTTTGCCTCTTGCTTCTCCGTTGGCAAAATGCCCAAAATATGCAGACCCTCAACTCAAGAGACGCAGAAGAAGGTAAGGGTTCAATCCAAGGAGGATAGAGTCCAGGAGCCGCGATAGGCAGGTGGAGAAAGATGGATGGGTAGTTGCCTAAAGTCACTCCAAACTTTCCTCTGCAATAAACGTAATAGTCCTCAAATTATAACCACCTCTGAGCCTAAAATGTTCTGTTCTCCCATGCAGGGCAACAAAGGAATCAGCTGGGACTCAGTGGGAAGTGGAGAATAGATGGGGCCAGGGCCAGTCAGAGGTGGGATTTGCAGGTTCTCCACACTACTCAAAATTTCCACTACCAGTTCTGCAGAACCGGTCAGAACCTGCTGAATACCACCTCTGGACTTGGTCCTGGAGAATTTTCTTGCTCCTGAGATGAAAGAACGTTTGCATTTTGCAGAAAGATGGGGCCCGTTTGCTAAAAGAACGAATAAATCCAAGCAATTCATTTTGATATCTCTTTGAGTCCATTCTCTGGGGCAGATTTGCATAGGGCATGTTAGTCCCTCCTCCCCTGCTCTTATTTTTCCCCTGTTAGGGGAAGGCTGGCGCTTGGCCTTGTTTATCCAAGGTCACGCAACACCTTGTGTCAAGTTGCCATGGCTCCCTGCAAACAAATGGAAGGAGCAACAGCTTTGCTTCCTTCTACACCTGGTCACTTTCTTCCTTTCTGGCTTGCTTTCTGGACTCTGAGTAGATGCTCCCAGTTTGATCCCATTCAGGAATGAGTTTCATTTCATCTCCTGGTCTTCAGTCTGAGCACATTCCTCAGAAGCCATGAATGATGAGTACCATCGCCGCCCATGGAGGAGCGAGTAGAAGATCCGATCTTGGGAAGACTGTTATAGGCTGATTTGGAGAGGGCCAAGGTCTCTATGGAAACAAACCCTCTTCCACAAAGGGTCCATTCCTGATGCTCAGAGGTCAAAGTTATATTAGACAGCTGGAACTCTTCAGTGATGGCATCCTCCCCGTTGACTCAACCCAATCTCTTCCTTGGAATGAAGACACTATGCTACTAATATGGTGGGTGAAATCACTGACTATTAGTTTGAACAATCCATACTTTTTTGGAGATCTTCTCTGGGATACTCCTGGCCATGGCTGGAAAAGCAGGGGAGCCCCGTGTCCCAGCCACCTTGCAGAAATCCCGCCTGAAGACCGAGGAGAAGGTTCTGGACCTTGACTTCCAGCTGGAGAGCGTGCAGTTTAATGAACTAGGGAGGTACGCCCTGCGGTTGACCGCCGAAAATCCTCTGGTGGAGGGGTCAGAAGCTGGGGTGCAACTGCAGGTGAACGAAGGAGAAGTGCTTCATACCAACACGGCCACCACCAACGTGGTGGAGCAGACCAACCTCAGCGAAGTCTACACGTTTGAGAAGCGGAGGTTTCTCTTCATCCTGCCCAAAGGTAGGAGGAGGGGAGAGGTGGAAAAGGGGGCAGAATTTACTTTCAGAGGTCTGAAAGGGGCGTGGGAGATTTGAAGAAGGGGGCCATCTGAAGTGTAGCATTGCAAAGCCAAAGTACTGCAGGATTTTGATGCTCTGTGAAATCTAGGATTAAGGAGCAAGATTGCATTACAGTATCTTCCTCCTCCTTAGATCAAATGATGTTCTAAGCTTCTTCTTTTCTTCTCCTCCTCCTCTTCCTCCTCCTCCTTCTTCTCCTCCTCTTCCTCCTCCTCCTCCTTAGAACAAATGATGTTCCAAGTTTCTTCTTTTCTTCTCCTCCTCCTCCTCTTCCTCCTCCTCTTCCTCCTCCTCTTCCTTAGAACAAATGATGTTCTAAGCTTCTTCTTTTCTTCTCCTCCTCTTCCTCCTCCTCCTCCTTCTCTTCCTCCTCCTCTTCCTTAGAACAAATGATGTTTTAGGCTTCTTCTTTTCTTCTCCTCCTCCTCTTCCTCCTCCTCCTCCTTCTCTTCCTCCTCCTCTTCCTTAGAACAAATGATGTTTTAGGCTTCTTCTTTTCTTCTCCTCCTCCTCTTCCTCCTCCTCCTCCTTCTCTTCCTCCTCCTCTTCCTTAGAACAAATGATGTTTTAGGCTTCTTCTTTTCTTCTCCTCCTCCTCCTCCTCTCCTCCTCCTCCTTCTCTTCCTCCTCCTCCTCCTCCT